GGAAGTAAAGAGGAAGTTTGAGGAGGAAGCCAGAAAACAAGCAGAAGAATCCACCGCAAAGAAAGATTAAATCCAAAAATGATGGTGAAACAGATCATGTTTGATATAAAACAAGAAATGTTCTAAAAAATGATTAAAAAGCTTCTGAGAAAGTTAAGTTGTAGACGGGTTATAAATATCTGGAGTGGAGGAAAGTAGAGCCAGAAGTTATCAGTTAGTTACAGGATCATCCAACAGGTGAGAAAAGGTCAGTAAAGGTCAGTAAAGGTCATCAGACTCACAGGATTCAATAATCAGATCAGTTCATGTTGTTTTTATTATGATGAATTTACTAAACTTTATGTTTTTATACAGATACATTTATTTATTCTTATTACATAAACTCATTGTTCTTCTTTCTAAGACCAGCTGCTGTTGTAGATTTACTGTCATTTTTCCCAAAAGACTCAAAATAATAAGTTTCTGAATCTTGATAATTCATCAAAAGTTGTTTGACTTTTTAAAATCTGAACTTTTATGTATTTTTACATTCTTGTTCTGATGTTCATTCAGTAAAAGCTGTTAAAAATTAAAGTTTACAAATTAGTTGTAACATATCTAGTGAGTTTTTTTGTACAAATATTTTTATATGTTTGTGTTTAAGCTGGTTTTAATAACTACTAATTCCTTTGAAGGAAGTTCATATGATTCTCTACATGGTTTTTGACAAACAGACATGAAAGTCTGATTTTTAAATGGAGATTTTATTTAATTTCAAACAGATAAACCTCAAAAATGCAGGTAAACATTTTATTAAAAACAGGTCAATAAAACAAACGGACATGTTTTACACGTGTGTTTCTGATGCTGCAGACATTCATTAGTGACGGCAGAAATGAATGAATTTTGATTATAGATTATTGATCCATCAGTGTATTAATGTCGTCCTTCAGATTATCTTAAAGCTGAAATCTCGCCTGGTTGGATGATTCCTCCGAATGCAGCAGGTCCAGTTGATGCCAAACCTTCATTCTAACAGAATCATTTTCTGAAGTTACTATGAATGTTGAAGAGTAAATGAAGAGAAAACAGAGAATGTGTGATTTTCAGTTGAAATGAACTCATTCATTCATCAAATGAATGAATGAGCTGCTCTGCATGTTTAACCTCACAAATAAAACTGCAGGTACTGAAGGATTAAACTTCATTTTTTCCAGAAACATTTAAACTTTTTGTTGCTCATTTAGTATGAAGGTGGCACTTTGAATTCATTATTAAAATGATGTATAATATGTATTTTCTGTGTTTTGAAATCAATGTTCACATAATCATAACTTTACTTTGTATATAAGGTAAATTAGTGTGGATATGATTGGCTCCAATATGACATTTGGTTATTGTATATCAAAAGTTGAAGTTGAAAAATATGTTTTTGTTTTTGGTTGTATTGGTTCATTTGATTTGTTTTGTATGAACTGATTTTAAATAAAGATATTAAGTTTATTTATTTATTTATTTTATTTCAAACAGACTGAAAAGACAACCAAGAAAACAAACAAAACACAATAGAATAAAACAAACATAAGAAATAAAATGTAAAACAAATTATTCTGCCCATGTGACATGTAAATTTTATATTTTCTGTTCGAAAAGGAGCAGGTAGAAGATATAATGTCTTATAATGTCCTGCCCCTTTCCTGCTTGACAATTTATCAATTAACTTTCAGAACATCAAAAAGAAACAACTTGTTTCCATTTTACATGATGTTTGATTATGCACAATTATTTAAATACTATTTATATCATCAATTACATTAAAGACTATTAAACAATCATCTTATATATCATATTTTGAAATAAGCTCAGTTTTAACGAGTTTTTTAAATTGGTTTACATTTGTACTTTTTCTTAACTCATTCAGTCCATTCCAGACATTTACTCCACACACAGATGAACACAAACTCTTCCTGGTTGTTCTGTAGGAAGTTTGATGTTTGTCTACAGTGAAGAAAATGAGAACCAGACTCTGAATCTGATGCTTCACATTTTTACTGAAGATACTTTTTGCCAGGGGTCCCCAAACTTTTTCCTGCGAGGGCCACATGACTGTTCCCTATAGGACACTTGCAATTTTAGCAAAACTGAATTTGGACTACAAAGAAGCTGTGATGGAAAAAATGACAGATTCTGAAAATTGATTAGCAGGAAGTGATGATGCTGTTCAGCAGTTCAGCAGCAAATGCACTGATGTCATAGAAAAGAAAATAGAAAAAAATGAACAGACTGAATAATGCAATGAAAAAGAAAATAAAGATATCGACGCAGCACCAAGAGAGAATAAAGTTATATTTTTTTGCCATCAAAGTACACAAAAAATGTTCTTATGGGCTACAGAAGTGGCTTTTGCATCGTCTCCTTTAATTTCAAAAGTAATTTAAAATACAAAAATAAACTATTTTATATACAAGTAATTTTTTTAATTCACTAAATACATCAGCAGTATAAAATACTACAAAAATAAATAATGGAGACATTTTCTTAACAGAATCTAAATAATGCATAGGGAAATTTGTGAAATTTAAAATGACAGTTGTTTTGGCCTTGTGGGAGCTGGTTTGCTGTTTTTCCACCAGGAGGAGCCATGAGGTTGCTGTCCGATGGAGGATGGTTCATCAGACAGCGGCTTCATCAACGTGAGCACAAGAGGAGCAGGCGGCCAGTTCTCCAGGCCTCAGTGTTAACCAGGTATGGTACTCTGAGCTCCAAGCTTTTTCCTGTGTTCCTAGCAACCTGAACTTTCCTCTAACCTCCTCGAAAGGTTTCCTCTCATGGCACCGTGAAAAATACCCTTTATGTTACCCGAGATCATCAGATCCACATCCAAGAACCTCTGCTGAAAATTCATCTGGTTCCCCACCTTTGACTGGCGAAGATCCGCTCCTCGATCTACAGATTGTTCGACTACCTGCCCGCCCTCAACGCTTCTTCTGTCAGCAACCAGAAACTCCTCCAGCCATCTGAATCTGGACCGGGCAGCTCCTTCTCCCACAAGCAACCCAGGCTGAAGTGCCCCATCCTCTCCCCCGTGGCGGATTTATGTCTCACTCAGAAAACCTATTTCAGTTTCATTCCGACCATCCACTTACTGCCTTCAGATCTCAGAGGATCCTGATTATGTGATCCTGATCACATATTCTGATTCCTGGGCAATCGTTGATCTGTTCAAAATAAACTTTATCTGATTTTTCCATCTTCTGTTTGTGTTCTGCATGTGTAGTGCTGTTTGTCAAACCAAACATCCAATAAAAGTTCCACCAAGCCACTGAGGCACTGGGGTCAAGTTTCTGGACGCAGGCAAAAGAAGGTTCAATGTCCAAACTTATTGATTGTTTCTTGATTATTTATTTTTCTCTTTTTTAAAACAATTACAGAGATGAAACTTTCCTTTGTGCTCTTCCTCTCTTGCTCTGTTAAAAACCATCGGCCCCAAACCCAAATGCCTGCTGGTCCTTCAGGCCCCTGCACTTATAGAAAGTGGACTGACCCACATTACTACCTGTTTTACTTAGAAAATGAATAAATAAAACCAAAAATAAATAAAGTCAACAATAATTAACCTACAAATAAACTCTGTAGATAATACAAAAACAGAAATTTAAGAATAAAGCAACAAATTCAAATCGATAAAGAAATAAAGAAAAATTAGCTTCAACAAGCAGCACTTTAATAAACTTTATAAATCTTAAACACATCAACAGAAAACAAGCATTACTACACAAATAGATGAAAACTATAACATGGCTGTCAGTTTGATTTCTTGATTATTTCCACCTGGAGAAGCTGTGGTGGCAGCCGGCCGTTTGTACTGAGCCAGGAAATGAATATGGCTGAATATTCAAACAGCTGTGTGGCTGAGATTAACCGGACATTGGTGGGACACAAGCATGAGCATTTACTTCATTAAATCATAAAGTTTGAACACTATAAAATCAGAAGTAATAAAATGATGATAGTCTGAAGCTCCAGCAGGAAGAGGTGAAGTAAAAATGGTTCTGCTTGTTTTATTTAAACATGCAAACATCCATCAGGTCCAACAAAGACACAGTCTGGAAATGAAACTGGTTTATATCAACAGGTCAGATCCAACTAACTAACTAACTAACTAACTAACTAACTAACTAACTAACTAACTAACTAACTAACTAACTAACTAACTAACCTGTTTTTAAAGATGTTTTGATAAATAGCTCATTTGTCCTTGATAGTTGCTAAACTGTATTAAAATGATTCACCAAAGGAAGAGCAGCGAGAAACGAACCAAATGCAAACAGATTATTAAACACTTTTCATTTTAACTCAACATATTTACATTTTCAAAGTATGAGTCTGATGCTTTTCATCAAGATTATTTTAAGTGATAATCAGCCTCCACTTCCGTGGCCATAAAAAGGTCATAAAAGACCTTAAAGGAAAAAAAAACATAAAAAATGAGCAAAAATAGGAACAAAATAAGGGCAGAAATAAAGAAAAGGAAGCAAAAGCAACAAATGAGTAAATTCAGCTTCCTCTGGGCTAAAAGAATCAAAATGTTCTATTTGCATATATTTATCAGCAGCCATCTAAATAAAATGTTTAAATTTAAAACTGATGAATTATTGAACAGCTTCACTTTGTAGATCTGAGTCAGAGAATGAAAGCTGAACTTTATTTCAATAACTGATCAGATCCATGTTGTTCTAATCAGAATCGAAAACATATTTCTGTCATATTTAAACTTTTCCAACATCATTTCACTGCAGCAATGAAATGAGATTCATGTTTTTAAGTTGAGTTTTAGTTTAAGTTTTGGCTCTAAATTACATTTAAAAGTTATTCCAGTAATAAAAGAAACAAACTGTTGAAGTTTATTAAATTGTTCAGGATTTAAAACCTGTTTAAATGTTGAATGAATGAATGAATGAATGAATGAATGAATGAGAGACAGATCCACCCGGTTCCAGATCCACTAGCAGACAGTAACTACTTTCTGCTCCCAGAGGAGCTTCAGCTTCATCCTGCAGGTTTTACTGCAGTTTCTTCAGCAGCAGAACAGAAACGCTGAACTCAAAGAGCAAAGATGAACTTCACCAGATGAACAGTTCAGTTCCAGCTGCAGATCCATGAGGACATTAAGAGGGAAAATAAAGCACTAAACACTGATTACCAAACACAGTAGCATTTTGTTTCTCCTTTTTGATAAACATCAACTTTATAAATATAACTTATTATTCAAGAAAGAGAAACTGAGTCATTTAGTTTGTTTCTCTGCTTTAATCAAACATCTTATGATTATTATTTCAGTGTCAGTGAAGAAAATCCCAAAGACCTGCAAGGAAATAATTTAGTTTTTCAGCTCAGAGAGAGAAAACCGATTTCTGTTGACCTTTAATGTCATCATAAACATTTGAGCAGTTTAATATTTCTCTTCTTTCTCCGTAGATCCAGCCGTCGGTTTCAGACGTTCGTTTCTTCTCTCATCATGGGAAGCGTCTCGTCCAGTAAGTCCTTCAGTTGGTCTCAGGTTTGGTTTCTGCGTCAAAAGAGATCAAATAGATTGTGAAAAATAAAAGGTCCCTTATGACACCAAAACAATCATTACATGATGTTCAATAATAACTTTAATTTAAACATATTTAGTGCAAACTTATTGTAATAAACTGAATCCTGATCTCTGAGAGGGATTAACATGTCCCTGATAACTGGAATCAGCAAACAGATGATCTGAAATAATCGTTACCAGAACATTCCTGACTGATTCTGCAGAAACATGAAACAATCATCATGTCAACAATAATTCAGGATCTTATTTGTTCGGCTCCAGGTGCTGCAAACCCAGAATATCAGGAGGGAAAACACACAGACATGGTTGGTAAACACATCTTCAGTTATCTATTAATGTTTGGCATTAAAATATATTTGATAGATTATTTTTAATCTGCTGCATTTGGACGGAGGCAGCAGGTCGTTTGGGTCTGAGAGGTTCTGATGGGGAAATAGTTTTATTTCTGCTGCTGCTCAGTTTATTCTGAACTGTGATCCGTTTGCTTCATCCCAACATCTTTTAGTTTTCTGGAGACAAACAAATTCAACCTGAACCTCATTATCACCTTCACCTGGTGTTACAATCATCCTGCAGCCAATCAGAGCTCAGAGATTTACTGTCTACATCATAAAGTACAAAATACTTCATCTCCTTCCCTAAATAACCCAGAGCCTTTTCACTCTGAAACATTTAATCATCCATCGTCCAACATGCTGTGTTTGTTCTGGCTGTGAATAAAAAATGTCAAAGGTTATTAAGAAAGTTGGTAATTTAATCCCAATTTTTTCCAGCGTTACAGGCAGGAAGTAAAGAGGTCTGGTCATGTGACCTTTCACTCGATACATAAAATAGAGTAGACACTGTTATTTAACTTAAAAACTTCAATTAGTTGCTAAAAGTCAAAACAATTATTTTAGAGGTTCAGAAGTTAGAAAAAATGTCTGGTAACAATTGTTGGTGGGATTAAACGGGTTAATTATCAAGGCTCACCTGTTTATCAGGATTAATGGCTCAGAAGCTCTTAGTCTCTATCCTGATAATCTGGTGACGTTTTATAGGAAATTCTTTCACTGACACTTTTAAACAGAAATGTGGACATGATTATAAAACCTCTCTACAAATATAAGAGTTTTTAACAAAATACTTCAGCTTCCAGGTAAAATACTTCAGTCATGGTTACATTGTTATGTCATAGTTTCTATTTGGACCCAAATGCAGACAGGAAGGAGAAAACCCAAATAAAATCTCCAGAGCAGCGATGAATGGACCAGAACCCAGAACCGCCTGAGTTAAACAGAATCCAGAGAGGAAAGGAAGCAGACTGAAGGTTTGACTGACAGGAGACAGAGAGGATGAAATGATGAAGATGTTCAGACGTTCAGAGCTGCAGTCAAACAGGAAGAAGCTGCTCTGCTCATGGTTTCATACCTGCATGATGTCATAGTGAGTCTCACCTGGAGCCATCATGACAGAACATCGTCTTCAATCAGAGCCTCTTTGGTTCTGGGCAGTTTACTGTTTTATAATTAACTAAGGTTATAAGATAATTTAATTAAAAAGAACAAAACCAGAAACACGTTCCCATGGTGACGTTTTGAGTTCCTTACAGATTATAATAATTTATTCTAATCTTTCCAACGATGCTAAACATGGAAATAAAAACAGAAGAAAATATGATCATTTGAATGTTGGATTCTGCAAACAGGGTCAGTGAGAAGTTTGACCCTGATGGGCAGCCTGAGTGTGTGAACGCTGCAGTTTATGACTTTTACTAATATACATATGTTTTATAACCGGCTGCACAGTGGCGCAGTTGGTAGAGCTGTTGCCTTGCAGCAAGAAGGTTCTGGGTTTGATTCCCAGCCTCAGTCTTTCTGCATGTTCTCCCTGTGCATGGTGGGTTTTCTCCGGGTTCTCCAGTTTCCTCCCACAGTCCAGAAACATGTCAGGTTAATTGGCCTCTCCAAATTGCTCCTAGGTGGTTGTGTGTCTCTGTGTCGCCCTGCAACAGACTGGTGACCATCCGGCTCTCGCCTGGAACGTTAGCTGGAGAGGCGGCAGCACCGATCCTGACCCCACCAGGGACAAGGGTGTAAAGAAAATGGATGGATATACACTGCTCAAAAAAATAAAGGGAGCACTCAAATAACACATCCTGGATCTGAATGAATGAAATATTCTCATTGAATACTTTGTTCTGTACAAAGTTGAATGTGCTGACAACAAAATCATCAATGGAAATGAAATTTATTAACCAATGGAGGCCTGGATTTGGAGCCACACACAAAATTAAAGTGAAATGTTCCCTTTATTTTTTTGAGCAGCATCAGAAGTTACAACCATAACTTCTGATGCTTGTTTAATAAAATGTTGATGAAAGTTATAAAATATGATTTAATGTTTCAGCTGCTGATAAAAATCTTTTAAAAACCACATAATGTTTTTTCCCACATGATCTTTTCAGGTATCAAATGTTTTTACTGAAACTGTTTAACCTTTCCAGTTCCTCTGATTTCATTTTTATCTTTAGAAATTCATCCTGTTTGGTTTTTACTCCCAGAACAGAAAAGAACCAAAACCAGGAGATCTGATTGAGATCTTCCGGGTCGGATACAAACACTGGGCCATCTACATCGGCAGTGGATTCGTGGTTCACCTTGTGGTGAACGGTGAGTCTCACACATATTAAGATTTAAAGTGAATCAACAGATTAAAATGTGATATTATAGAGAACAGATTCATTCCTGTTTCTCTGCATGGAGTTCAGCAGGAACTGCTGAGAGACGCTCTGCTGACCTCAGGATGGAGGAAACATTTGGTGGAAGTTTAGATTTAAAACGGAGGAAGGAACAGGGCCGGCTGTATGCTGGGGCAAAAGGGGGCTGTGCCCCCTCAAATGAAACTTGCCGCAAATAACCGAACATCTCCTTTATCTGAGGTTCTGCTGTGCATCGCGCTGAGCAGCCTGTGGTCTGTCTGTCTGCGGTCAGGCTGCAGCTGAAACTACTCAGCTGCTAGTAAACAGCCAATCAGCATTCAGTATTCACCGCTAGTAAACAGCCAATCAGCATTCAGTATTCAAACGAGCCTCACAAGAGCCAGATCCCGCTCCCTGCTAGCCAACCTGCTTGCCAATGATGGCGACTTTATCTGTCAAGTTGTCCAAACCTTAAATATGCACGAAAGGAGGACAATGTTTTGCTAACACTACAGCTACAAAACAAGCCCCAAAGTTTCACAGGTCAGTAAAAGGTTTTAATTTAAAAATATATCGAGGGAGGTGGAAGTAGGTCAGTTATGTTCCCTTGACTTCAACAACCTTCGCATGTTGTGCTGCGCAGTTCGGTGTGTTTCGGTTCCGTTTATAAGGGACCCTCACACCAGCTCCGTGACAGAGCATCAGTCCAGCAGGTTTTTAACTTATGAACCCCGCTGGGTTTACTGGTAGTAATCACAAAATAAACATCAAGACTGAAAAAAACTGTTACGGACTGAATATTCTGTCTTTTTGTGGGAAATGTTTGCGTTTTTGGCGCTGAATCCTGATAACGCAGCGCTGCTCGCTCAGCTATCGGATTTGTTGTCACTCGGTTGTTATGGCAACGGATCTGCGTGTAAAGCATACATTTGGTCCAAACTAATTTTTCCAAGAAAATGAAAGAAGATGAACTAGGTGAGTTCCTGAGACAGTTTGAATTGTGTAAAAATGTTAATAATTCATCAAAGGGAAACTGAAAACTTCTGCAACGATGCAACACCTCCTTAACATTCCCCCCCCCCCCTCATGTATCCATGGCTAGAACCGCCCGGAAGGAATCTGTCATGTTCTGGGATGTTTTAATATGAATTATTAACTATTTAAACTTTTGAAACATTACAGGTTTGGGCTCCAGCTCCAGCTGCTCCCTGCCTGCACCAGGAGAGATGGGCGTTGTGATGAAGGAGAAGCTGGAGGACGTGGTGGGTGGAGACAGGTGGAGAATCAACAATTATCTGGATAAAAAACACAAACCTCAGCAGATTTACACCATCGTGAAACAGGCTGTTGGGTTCATTGGGACTCGGCTGCCGTACAACCTGGTGAGCAGCAACTGTGAGCATTTTGCCACCGACCTGCGCTACGGGAAGTCAACGTCTCTGCAGGTAGGAGGTCAGAGGAAGACGGAGCGAAGTTTCAGATCGGCTGCTGAAATCAGAGTCAGCAGGTTGAGATCAGCTCACAGCAATAAAACAGCTTTACATCATGAAACAAGCAGCAAACATTACATTTATCACCATCACACTAGAAACATGAAACATTGATCAATGTTCCAGCTATCTGTGTTTTTCCTGAAGGCTCTCTGTCGCCCCCTGCAGGTGGTCAAAGCTGGAGCAGGTATTGGCGGAACCGTGGCTGGACTGGTTCTGTTTACTGGAAGTTTACTGGGAATCCTGCTGAACAGACGCTGACTGGGACTGATGGGAATAAACATATAAAAATATCCTATTAATACATTTATTAATTGATTTCTGCTAGTTGTAGAAAGTGTTGATCATGATTGTAGAACAGATCATGATCTGAAACTTTTAACAAGTAAATTAATCTTTGTTAATAATGAGGTTGAAAATGACAGAGTTCAGGGATGTAAATCATATAAATGTTGAAATTTATAACAGATTAAAAATGACTGTTGAATCATCATCAGTGTAAATAAAATCTGATATTAATTAGTGGAAAATTATTGATTATAATTTTGCAGTTTGTTTTGGTATGAAGCTATAAAACTGTTAATAAAAAACTTATTAAAATTGGTTTTATTATTTCTAATCAAATGGTTTATTGATCTGTTTATTTTCTTTATAAAATGAACCTGTAACCATGACAACATCAAGTTTATCGATGTATTGATGATTGATCTGAGGAGAAATCCTTCCTCCAGGGTTCTGATGGTTCTGATGGTTCTGTGTAGATGATGGAGGCGGGTCAGCAGGTCAGCGTTTCCACCCTGAGCCAAACGGTGTGGGTCTGGTTCTGTCGGGTCCAGAAGAACTCCTGCAGCTCTGAACATGTCTGACATGGAGCAGATCCTTCCTCTAGTTTCTTTTAACTCCATTTCAGGAGTTTTTGTTGTCGATGAAAATTAGAACAATCCAGATTCTAAGGATCCTTTTTTATTTTTAAACATTGTTTATTAATCCAGTGGGCCAGTTTGTCATGTCTTGTTGTAGTAACCCCCAAACGCCAGCAGGTGGCAGGATCATATGGAGATTTGGAGTCTGAATAATGTGGCGCCTCAACCTGCTATGAAAAATGTTTAGTTTTTATCAGGAAGTGATTTTCTCCCAAATCTATGCTTTTTATAGAAAGTGACATATTTGCTGATATTTCCTAAATATTTTCCAGTTTTTCTTGTTTCTTCAGTCGAGTTGCAGAGGAAGACAAAGCCGCTCCGCTCCGCCGCCTCATGACTCAGGTTCCATGTTTCATTGATCAGAAGATGTTAGTATCAGTTCATAAAACAAAAAGAATTAAAGTAAATACATAGAAAAACTACAAACTGTTTTTTGTGAAAGTGAATTATCCTCATTAACTGAATAATCTAAAGAACATCACTAATAAATACTGATTAAAACTGAAAAGGTGATTGACAGTATTTTTCTTTTCCTTTGACTTGTTGTCAGAGCCACAAAGACTCATCAGACAGATGGTGGTAGTTTAGTAGGTTAGTAGTTTAGTAGTTTAGTGGTTTAGTAGTTTAGTGGTTTAGTAGTTTAGTAGTTTAGTAGTTTGGTAGTTTAGTAGTTTAGTAGTTTGGTAGTTTGGTAGTTTAGTCCTGAAGTCAGAAAGTTGTGGGTTTGATTCCAGCTTCTTGCTCGTTGCTGTACATTTATTCCTAAATTACTAATCTGGGCATAAAGTGTCACTGGGTGAATTAAAGAGGCTGTTAGTAAATAATATTATCTATATAGTTTAATAAAGCTTCACTATGAAGTTTTCACTGATCTCATATGAATCCAATCAATTTACGCTTTTATTCTGAAACTTTTGGATAATTTAACATCCTGGACTCCCAGGTCAAAGTAACAGACTGCAGGTCTATTAAACTGTAAATGATTAACCTGTTATTGGTTATGGATCAGGTTTATTAGTTTAACACATTTCAGCAACAGGGCAGTTCAAAGAGCTTTACATCATAAAAACATCAAGCAGCAAACAGCATTTTATCGAATCCCATAATTAAAATCATGAAACAAATAATCGTCAAATGTTGATCAATGTTCCAGTTAATCAAAGGAAACTTTAATTTTTAAGTTTAATTTTTTAGTCTGGATTAAAAGGAACTCAGTGTTTCAGCTGCTTTTCAGTTTTCTAGAAGTTTGTTCCAGATTTGTGGTGCATAGAAACTGAATGCTGCTTCTCCATGTTTGGTTCTGGTTCTGGATGCAGACCCAGAACCAGAACCAGAGCCTGATCCAACAGCAGCAGATCTTTAAAGTTTTGTGCTGCTGAGCCGTTCAGTGGTTTATAACCTGTAAATGTTCTGATTGGTCAACAACAGATCAGCTTCCCTGGACTTTTAGTTTTTCTTACTGCACAGGATTCAGAAATGATGCGTTCAGGGTCGGTGGAAAACCTCGACCAAAAGTCAAGATGCTGTATTTCCAATTCATCTGGTAATTCTCAGATATCCCAGCTTTTGACCAGCTTTGAACGCATCATTCCCTCTAATCACTCGCTCTCTCCTTCACTACAACCCCCAATATAACAGATTAATTATTCATCTTCAGTCCATTATTCTTGCATCAAACCTGCATAGTTTAGTTTAAATCAGGTGGCTCCATGTAGTTTGATCTCCAGATTGATGCACAGAATCTTCTGCTGTTATTTCAGCTTTTAACTGTCAGAAGCAGCAATGAGTTGATGTTGCTTTTATATTTCAGAAATGTAAATGTCAGTAAAAATTCAGCTGTGCAGTGCAGATAAAGCAGAAACTTATATTGTAATTTGATTATTTGGAATTTAAATGTTTGGTTTGGTTGCAGCTTCTTTAGCCTCATGTTGGTATTTTCTGTAAAAAGGTAAATTGATCATTTGTGAAGTGAGAAACCAAATCAAACTCAACACAGTCGGATGCTATGAGACTAGATTTAACCTTTAACCTTCAACCAGGAAACATCCAGGGAATATTTACAGAGGAGAGTCGACCTGAAACACTTTAACATTTAGAAACCTGGTTCTTTCTGACCAGCTGGAATCATTTCCTCTTATGTGGATGAAAATCAGCTCACTTGTCATGAACTGGGTTGTGGTGGTGAGGATTTAGACGTGGCCACCATGATTTTTAATGAAGGAACAGAGGAGCCAAACTCCAGCCCTCTGCTGTCCTGCAGGCTTTAGATGAGCCTCAGGTAGAAAACACTGGAATGAAACGGCTTCATTTCCTCCTCCTGGTGCAGATCAGGCCTCCAGAGCCTTAATGACCTGATGATTCTGTTCAGGTGGTTCAGGACAGCGACCCTGCAGGAGTTTGACACCTGTGGTCTTGAAGTTCACAGAAACCAGGAAGCACAGGTGATGAAGAAACAAACAGACTTTGGTAGATAAAGGGACGACAAACGACTGGGATCCGGTGGGACACAAGAGACACATTAAATACATGAGGGATAAATCAGGGACACAAGAGACACAGGTGGGATCAACCAACAACACTAAACACTAAACTAACTAGGAAACACACAAAACCCCAAATCAACTCATCACTGAAGGTTTGATTCTGAATGTTTTAACCTTCCAGTAGGAAAAATCTTTTCTGTCAGGAATGAGGTTCCTTTGGTTGGAGAAACAGGAAGTTTGATCCAGGATCAATAAACTCTTTAGATCTCAGTGACAAAGTTCAGAAAATGAAAAGTTACATTTCTGTTTATCTTTGATTATTGGAAGAGACATATTGAACTCCAACACTGACATGTAAGGTTTATTAAAGGGAAAATTAATGATGGTGATTCCCTGAAGGAAATAAATCCAATTGGAAAATGGAGTAATTCAGCATTTTACAGGATTTTAAACCTTTTAACTGTAATGAACTGAAACATGCTGCAGAATCCTTTTATGATCTATGGGCATATAGCTTCTCCATGTCTGTTTTTGGTCCACATTTATCTGCTTCAACGTCTGGTTACTTTCCCCAGCAGCAGAAGGCGGCCATGGCTGACATGATGAACGGTGAGGAGAACCGCCTGCATTGTGAACGGCACCAGAACTCCTTCAGGAGGAAGCAGCCATCAGCAGAGAGACGGCTCTGTATACATCCAGAAGATTAAAGCATATGTAGTCTTATGCTATACATGCACCTTAAGACAGGATGCATTCTCACACCAAATAAAATCCCATAAACATGAGGGGATTTTCTGTCAAAACGTGATTAAGGCCCATTTCCTGCCCAGTGAAATGCAATTTCTGCTTGAACTGACAGTTAAACTCAAAGAGATTATTTCACATAGATATGAAATAATCTGTATTTTATATCTAGATTTCATATAGATATTAAATAATCTGTTGAATAAATAAATACTTT